GAAGCAGCAGCCCCATTTCCAGAGCAATGATGCAAAAGCAGGGGCTCTGTAAGTAAAGTCTGCACAGCTCTTCCTATAGCTGATGTTCCTGTTATCTAATATTTTCACATTGTTTTCAGCATCCACAGCAAAAGCAGACATCCCTGAACTTCCTTCCTAGTCTGTGGATCCTCTCTCCTTTAGCATGACCCATACCCTTTGTCTTCCTGACTGAGCATGCTTCCAGCAACATGCCCTACCTGAGTCTGCACAGCAAGGGTATGGTAGTGCAATCCTGTCTTAGTGCACTGGCAGGTTCTGAGCACCCTTGATTTACACACCCAGCACTTCCAGGTTTGAGCCCTCAGCAGGATTAAACACAGAGTATTAAGCCAGAGTGATGAGCTCAACTGGACAAAATTGGAAATCAAGTTGCACAGGTCAGCTCTGACCTTTCATGTTAAAATATAAGGATTCTTAAGCACAGAAATCTTGAAGAATGCGTCTCAACACTAGAACTAAAATAGTTTCATATGGGCTACATCTCAAGAGCTGGTTTCCTATAAATAACTCACAGATGTCATTTGAATTACAGCCTTCTTCAAATAAGGGGGCTGCAGGCATACCCAGAAGCCTGTTAACAAGGAGATGACAAGCTTCAGGCATCTAATTGCATTAACTCATCACCAGTAAGAAACTAGCAGTATTACAGCTAATCTGTCCAGGGATTGACTGGGAACTGAATCTAGACCAGGAAAGTTATTTCACTGACTTCAAAGGCTTGTCCACTTCCAAAAAAGGACCCTCAGCTCTCTGTCTCTCCAATCAGCCAGCTGCTACTCAAGAAAGCCAAGAGCTCGAGTGCATTGTCTTAGCACTTGCATGCCTGATGGTTTGCAAAGATCACTCTGCGTTATAGAAAGCAAACAGCATTTGCAAAAATGTGATATCTGCCGAGACCCATGGATAAATGACTGCCTTTTATAGGGGGATGGTAGAGAGGAAAAGCCCATGAGTTCAGACATAATCTGTTGTTTGAGAGATGTAGGTTAAGGGCACAGAACTGACAACATCTTCTCTAATGTCATGTGGCTTTCTATTGACTGTAGCTGGACGTGCTGACAGAGGGTCTGCAGATATCACGCAGCAGTGACATTTAGAGCGATGCATGCTGCTTTTCCAAGGAGATGGCTGAAATATTATATTGAATCTATAAATCTTAAGGCTATGGATGCTTTAGGGACTGGGAGCATGCAAATTTCTTTCTTCTTTACCATGTGTCTATACAGCTGAAGTCCCGCTGGTCTTCTCGCAGTTCCTCTTTGTGCAAGAATGTGCTGGCCATAATGCTGGTAAGGGAGCCTGGGGGTGGTGGGGGTGGCAAGATGAGCTGGCTAGACGCATGAGGAAGCACTTGGTGAATGCTGTTGAGATACATTTTGCACACTGCAGGAAGCAGCATACCTTTGCTTGGCTCTAGCAGTGGGAAGCCATCGGGGTGGTGGAAAAAATATTGGAACTCCCTACCTTGCCCTGTCCTGCCTGTCATACAGTCAGTCCAGAGGACTGAAAGCAGAGAGGTTGAACGGCACCCCCACAGTGATAGGAGACACAGTTAGCAGGATGAACCCATAAACGCTAGTGAATGCAAGCAGTACACGGTGCTTACTCAAACTACGTTATATTAACATTACGGTACATGACCACTCAAACTGTTCTAATAACACTTAATTCACTGACAGTCTGATCTATGTTACAGATCCGTTACAAGGTAACCCTTCAGCCAGGTGAAGAACATAAGCAAGGGAAGACAATGTTTAATAAAGCAAGTAGAGCAATGAGGGAAGCAGTTTTTCCATCTCAGGGAAATGGCTGAGATTTGACAAAAAATCTAAAATTGGGACAAAAAATTAATTTGAAACTATTTTTTGAAGTGACAAGCCCAAGCTTTTATGGTTCATGTCAAGCTCAGTGTTTGGTTCCAATAATTTCATTTTTAGAAAGTTTTGATCATTTTGAAAATGTATTTTACAACTATTTGCTTACATTTTAAAGGAAAAAGCTTCATTTCTTACAAAAGTTGAAGTGGAACAATTTGATGAGTTTGTAACTTTGTATCTGGGGGAGGGGGGGCGGGTTCTGCTGTAGCCCACTACCTGGACAGCTGGGAGATCAAGGAGCACATTTCCTTCCACATCTATCATATTTCTGTGGTTTTTTAATGAAATTTGAGATTCATTGCTTATCTTTTTACTGATATGCTTGCATATATAAGAACCAACGTAGCTAGTTGTCTGTAGATATAAAAGGAAGGCATTGATCATGGTGTACAACATTAGTGCAACCAGGGATGGGTAATCACGACTTGAAGCCCAGATGCTGACTTGAAGGGGATGCCACCCAACCATATTATCAAAACGATGATTGCCTTTACGTGATGGGACCTGGTTGCATTTGGGGTGTGGTCAGGTGTTGGGGCCATGGCTAGATCAAGGACATGGGGAGGAAGGACAGGAATTGCTCATGGAGGGTGGAATAGATCAAGCCATATAGGGGTTGTGCCCCAATAACCCAGGTCCCTTCATCAGTCTCATGCCCTCCTGCCCCATGGGAGATGCCAGCACTGTAGCTGAAGCATCAGTGTGGCCAGCAGCCAAGGGATAAACACAGTTCCTCCACTGTATTGGCTGCCTTTATGGCACCAAATTTAGTGTTGCTCATCACTGATGGTGATGCAAATTAGTGGCATTAGGCAGAGGTGAGCAGCAGCACCGGCTGTGGCTGCAGTAGAAGGTCAAGAGAAAGTCCCTTTACTGATAGGTTGCTGAGTTAAGCCCTTGGCTGCTGGCTACAATGACACCCACGCCTCCCCTCCAAAGTCCCCTCCCAGGAGGGGAAGAGTCACCCACCCCTTGGCTGAGCTCTCTACTGGGACATGACCCCCCAGCCCCCCACTCCAACACTGCCCAGGGTACAACCTCATCAGTTATGCCTCTGGTACCCATGCCATATGGGCACCTCTGTAATATGAGAGAGAAACTGTATTTACCATTCATGATTGACTAATTCACCTACCCTCTGTCTAACCCATCTGCAGCAGGATTACTTTCAACACTTTTAATACCTCAGAAGGTTACTATAGATACTGATATACAACGCTGGTCATATACAAGTCACTGCATTTTTTAGTTTCTCTAATGGGATGAGAGCCTGGTTACTTCCAATGTGGCAGACATGAATGCGAATTTTTAGCCTGGGTTAAGTGATCGTGCATGTGTTGGATTTTTTCGAGTGAAGGCAGGAGTTATGTATTACCAGTCATGTCAGGCTCACTCAGTTTGGATGGTCAGCGCACATTATTGGGATGCTGTCTGTGACACTGTACTCCTAATACTCACCCACCCCCACAAGCTTCTAATATTAACAACAAAAGCTAATCCAGGTTTCTGGTATACAAACTAGCTAGGCACAATATCTATGATCCAATTAAACATGGTGCTAATCATGTTATTTGTATACCTGGCACCAGCATGACACATGGCTCAATACAAAATCTGTGCTGGCTCCATACAAAGTATTTAAGGTTCCCAGGTCCCTCTGTATGCTCTGAGCAAAACAACTCTGTGTTATAGGATATGCTTCCTAATTCTTAGCAATTGCTAAAACATCTTTAAGTGACGATATTCACCTCCATTTCTCACCAAATAGTATGACTTTCCTACCAGAGAGAGGAACCTATTTTCCAGGTCACTCTGATCCCTATTTTGGTTTTCAATAACAGTTTTATCCATTGTATTGCATTTGTTGGCCTTTTACATTGTCTGCAAGACCTAACCATTCTAATTTTTTCAGCATTGCCACTTAAGCCATACATGGCAGGCTTAATTCCAGTCAGTGAGGGCTTTTATTTGTTACTAGCACCTCAGCATAATTTGTATATGCACTGATCAATGGATGTATTAATCTGTACTCCAGTGAGGCCTACAGTATGACATTTTGAAAATAGCTTTCTGCAAATGTCTGCTTTGCTTGTTAAAATGTCTGCATAAAGCATATCCATGAGTGGTATGGCATATGCAAAGTAAATCAGTTAGTAGCCAATTATTACTTTCTTATTCATGTCAACATTGTCTTCAGTGGAATAAAGTGCTGCTACATTACAGTGGTCTACACTGGCATAAAGTACTACTCAGCCTTGTCAACACTATTTTGAAGATATTTTTTACGGTAGCATTAGGTTCTCTCTGACCATACTACAGACATGCTGCACTTGCATGCAAAGTGACTTGCACCTATAGAGTGCACTGATTTGATACCACTAAGCTACACTGATACAAGTCACACCTTACATCACAACCTACAGCAGTGTCACCTAGGTATGTAGCGCTAGATCTCCTCCTTCAGAAAGTGTCTTACATTATGGATTTCTTTCTTAGGTAAATAAACAATCAGCCCCAATCCATCAAGAAATGAATCGTGGGTCTCAAATCAACTATATGTTACTTTAAGTCAATGGGACTGTTCATATGCTTAGAGTTCTTGACATGCTTAGGGTCCTTTACTAGGCATAAACCTTAAAGCACTGGAGTTATTTTACATGCATAGCCATTTGTAGGGTCCTTACTTTAGTCTTCCAAGCTGTAACATTCTCATAAAAGCTGGCTAGTTTCCCACTGTTCTGGAAGTTCTGGGAAATTATGCTGCAAAAAAAAAAAAAAAAAAAAAAAATCATTGCCATCCTTTGTTGCTTTCCGTGATCATGTCAGGGCTGCTTTCAATTTGCAATGAGGAACTAAGAATGGTAAACATTCAACTCCAAAGAAATTAAGGTATGTAAACACATTCGTTCCCCATCACCAAGCTTAACCTGGGAACCCAAAGCACACTTCTCAATCAATACAATTGTACAATTGTATGTTTTTTCCCCAGCAGTACAACCTTAAATTCTATCATTTTCATCATTCTCAAATGCTGTACAACTATTCAGCATGATACTTCCAGCACACTGCACTACTTCTAGTGGCATTGTGAGTTTCTATTCTGAGCAACTGCATCTGTTTAGAATAAAAATGCAAGGACACTATATAATCTGGAATATAATATGAAAAAAGAATGTGTATAGTCAAAGGAGTTTGGCAACAACAACAAAAAAAAAGGCTTATATTTAAGAAAAGTTTCAAATGCTGTTAGAAAAGTCTGTATTCCAGCTGTTCTAAAAATGGCTTTTCTTGTCAGCTTTGTTAGGGAAGGAAAAATTCTTCCTCTGGATTGTTAAATTTTAATACATAGTGTCTTAATGCCCATTGTTATTTGAACAAGTATCTCATTTTCTAAACAAAACAAATTCCACAAGAAATTCTTATTTCATTATTCAGTTTTTCCTACACAGAGCTCATTTCTGTAATATATTTGTGGTCATGCTTTAATATAAAATATTGACACTTTCTGTTGTATTGAAGTATTTTGGTGTCCTACAGCATAGATTAGAAAGACCCCATATTTAGTAGTAGTTATGACACCTAGGAACAAGTTTGGAGCCTTTTGTGGTAGGCAATGTAGAGATTCATAGCAAAAGTTTGTTCCAAAGATTCAAACACAAAAAGCGTGGATGGGGAAGAACGGAGAGATGAATTGCTAGTCCAAGATCACACAGTAAGTTGACAGAAGTAAAATCCAAGGGTGCCAACTTCTAGATCAGTATCCACTAAACCGGGGTGGCCAACCTGTGGCTTCAGAGCCACATGTGGCTCTTCAGAAGTTAATATGCATCTCTTTGAATCTTTGCACAAGCACACGGTAGCCAGCTTCCATTTTGGAAGCTGATATAAATGATAATAATAATGACATCAATGATAATTGAGGTAGGTGATCCTTCCCCTCTATGCAGCATTGATCAGGCCGCAGCTGGAGTACTGTGTTCAGTTCTAGGTGTGGCACTTCAAGAGAGATGTGGATAGCATTGAGAGGGTCCAGAGGAGGGCCTCTCACATGGTCAACGGGCAGCAAGGCAGACCCTACGAAGAGAAGCTAAAAGGGCCTGAACCTATTCAGCCTCCACAAGAGAAGGCTGAGAGGGGATCTGGTGGCCGTTTACAAACTCACCGGGGTGGGGGGGGGGGTGGAGGGGCAGTGAGAATTGCGGGAGGCTCTGTTTCCCCATGCACCACCTGGAGTTACTAGGAATAACAGCCACACATTGTTAGAGAGAAGGTTCAGGCTGGAAATCAGGAGACATTACTTTATAGTTAGGGCTGCCAGGCTCTGGAACGGGCTCTCAAGTGAGGTGGTACTCTCTCCTACCTTGGGGGTCTTTAAGAGGTGGCTGGACAGATATTTGATGGGGTGACATGATCCCAGCACCCGCTCGTGCCTAGGGCAGGGGGTCGGACCTGATGATCTGTTTATGTCCCTTCTGACCATAAGTACTATGATAATAATAATATCAATAAACAAAATGAAAAGAAAAGGGGATCTAGAATAAACACTATTGGAAGCTGGTCACCATGTGCTTGTGAAAAGATTCAAGGAGACACATATTCAAGAACATAGGACTCCTGGGGAGAGATGGCATCCACCTCACACAGAAAGGTAAGTCCCTTTTCTCAGCCAGGTTGGCCAATCTCTTAGATAGGGCTTTAAACTAAGATCACAGGGGGATGGGGAAACGCTAACTGGAACCTACCCGGGGACCAACATACAGGAAAGCTCCATCAACAATGAAACTAAGCAAGCCACTCTTATGGGAGCTGAGATAACAGCTCCCCTTCAACGCAACAGGCAGCCAGTGACCTCAGTAGAAGGACTTAGGTGTCTGCACACCAGTGCCAGAAGCATGGGGAACAAGCAGGAGGAACTAGCCCTCCTGCTTTCCACAGGGCACTGTGATCTAGTAGGGATCACAGAGACCTGGTGGGACTTCTCTCTTGACTGGAGTGTAGCCATAAAGGGCTATGTCCTCCACAGAAGAAAGCGGGAAGGGAAGAGAGGTAGGGGTTACCCTCTATGTGAAGGAGCAGTACACCTCCCTACAGACCGATGTTGGGCCCAGAGAAAAACAGCTTGAAACCCTCTGGGTCAAGCTCTGGGGGAGGCATGGCGAGAGACCTGACTGGAGATGTATACTACAGGCCGCCTAACCAAGGGGAGGAACTTGATCTAGCATTTGCCTGTGAACTAATGGAGGCCACGCATGCATGGGAAATGGTTGTCACGGGTGACTTCAACTACCCAGACATCTCCTGGGAGTGCTTGGCCAGCTTGGATCAATCATGGTCCTTCCTGACCAGCACTGAAGAGCTTTTTTTTTTGTTTGTTTGTTTGTTTTGACTCAGGAGGTGCACAGCCCAACTAGAGGCAATGCAGTTCTTGACCTGGTCCTGGCCAAAGGGGATGACCTGGTGACCAACTTAAACATAGAGGACAGCCTAGGCGATAGTGACCATGAAATCATTACATTCATGGTCCGTCGCAAGACTGCCAAAACAGATACCAAACTTGAAGTCTTAGACTTCAAAAACCCAAATTTTAATAAGCTCAGGTGACTAGTAGAGAATGCCCTGAGAGACCAAGGACCACAGGTAAAGGGAGCACGAGAAGAATGGTCATTCCTTAAGGACACAATCCTTAAGGCTCAGAGAAAATCCATTCCCTTATGGAGAAAAAGTAGCAGAAGGGTCAAAAAACCCTCTTGGCTAAGCAGGGAAGTTGCAACTCTTCTACAGAAAAAGAAAGTGGCGTACAAACAATGGAAGCTTGGGACAGCCTCTAAGAAAGACTACTTGACAATGGCCCGCACTTGTAGAAAACAGATTAGGCAAGCTAGGGCAGAAACCAAACTAAAACTAGCTACAAGAATCAAGGACAACAAGAAGTCCTTCTTTAGCTACATAGGGAGTAAAAGGAAAACTAATGGGAGTGTGGGGCCGCTGCTCAATGCTTCAGGATACCTGGTCACTACCACTCAGGAAAAAATGGAACTCCTAAATCACTACTTTGCCTCAGTCTTTCACAAGACCAAGGGGAACAACATGCCAGGGCACAGAGCTAACAGGGCAGGATTGACACCATTCCCACCATTGCCATAGAACCGGTGTATGATCAATTAAAGAAATTAGACGTATATAAATCAGCAGGACCGAGTGAACTCCACCCAAGAATGCTGCAAGAGCTGGCCGAAGTAATCGCAGAGCCCCTGGCAAAGGTCTTTCAAAAATAATGGGCCTCTGGAGAAATCCCAGAGGACTGGAAGAGGGCCAATGTTGTGCCCAACTTCAAGAAGAGAAAGTGTGAAGAGGCAGGAAACTACAGGCCAGTAACTTTAACTTCTATTCCAGGGTAAATCCTAGAAACATTCATCAAAGAGGCTATATGTGACAAACTTGCAGAAGGCATGATAGTAAATGACAGCCAACATGGGTTCATTGTGAGCAGGTCTTGTCTGATCAACCTAATTTCTTTCTATGATCAGGTGACTCATCACCTGGATGACAGAAAAGCATTAGACATCATATACCTTGACTTCCAGAAAGCCTTGGACCTGGTATCCCACAAGGTACTGATCAGAAAACTGGAAGATATTGGGCTCAGCTGTGGGACCATCAAGTGGGTATGAAACTGGTTGTGGGGTAGGACAGAGAGAGTCCAGATGAGTGGATTGGTGTTGTCCTGGTGAGATGTGGGCAGCAGCATACTCCAGGGATTGGTACTTGGCCCAGTGATGTTCAATATCTTCATCAATGACGTGGATGAAGGGGCGAAAAGCCCATTGGCCAAGTTCGTGAGCAACACCAATATATGGGGTTTTGTGGACACACCCACAGATAGGCTGCAGATACAAGCAGGCCTAGACAGGCTGGCATGTTGGGCAAAATGAAACAAAATGAGGTTCAACATAGAGAAATGCAAAGTGCTGCATCTGGGAAGGAAGAACCCCCAGCAAACCTACAGGCTGGGCATCGCTAACCTGACCAGCACTACAAATGAAAGAGATTTGGGGTTAACAAGAGACCCCAGCATGAATATGAGCCGGCAATGCAATGCGGTAGCCACTGGGGCCAATAAAACTCTGGCATGCATCAATCGATGCATCTCCAGTAAATCCAAAGAAGTGATTCTCCCACTTTACTCAACATTGGTGTGGCCACAGCTGGAGTTTTGTGTCTAGTTCTGGGCACTGCACTTCAACAAGGATGTGCTAAAGCTCGAGAGGGTCCAGAGAAGGGCCACCTGCATGATCAGGGTCTTACATGACAAGCCATATGAGGAGAGGCCGTGGGATCTTGGACTCATCAGCCTAAAGAAAGAGAGGCTGAGAGGGGACCCAATTGTGGCTTATCACTATACCAGAGGCGTACCTTGGGGGCTCAGTGAACAACTGTTCACACCAGGGCGCCCTGAGGGAAAACTAGAAACAATGACCACAAACTCCTGGAAGATAGTTTCAGGCTGAACATTAGGAAAAACTTCTTTACAACTAGGGTGTCCAGACTATGGAACAAGCTCCCCGCAGCGGTGATGCAATCACCTATCCTAGAAGTCTTCAAGAGAAGACTGGACGGTCACCTGGCTGGGGCCATCTGACCCCAGATGTCTTTCCTGCTCATGCAGGGGGCTGGACCCGATGATCCTTCAGGGTCCCTTCTAGCCCTATTATTCTATATTAACTACTGAAGAGCCTCATGTGGCTCCTGCACTAGACCAT